AAGAAAGAAAGAAAGAAAGAAAGAAAGGGGTAAAGAACTGCCAAAGAAAAAGAAAAAAGAAAAGGATCAAAACAAAAAGATTAACATTAAAATTAAAAACAGACACCTCGTTATGTAAAGTAATAAATATTTCACAAATGTCTTCCAATTTCCAGTTCTAATCTAAGCACGTTAAGGCTTTGACAACCTGAATTAATACATGAGGTCAAAATTTACCATCGCCAAGGGCATTTTAAACCCAAACTCCTTCCACGTTTCTTCTTGAATTTTCTAGAAATGTTAACATAAATTTTAACCGACTTTTTACACTTCCTACTTTTCTCAAAATGTGTCTTATCAAAAGATCTTTATTTTGGGTTTTTATTAGCATGCTCAATAGTTTTATTTATAACTAGAACTGATAAAGTAGAAGTATGAGAGTAAGATGGCGCCATCTAGCCTGTATATTTGAGATCGCACGAAACTATGACGTATGGGGAATCCCTACTGTTGCCCAGCGCGCCATGCCAAGACATCTTGTCAGCAAAGGCAATTTTAAGTGCTGAAAAATACACACCTGTTTTAAAACGATGATATTTTAGAATAAATATAGTGTAAATCGATTTTGTTCATCAAAAACTGAACGCGACGAACAAATAGTTCGAGCCTCCTTAATGCGCTTGAGCCCACGATGTGCGCGCGCTCAAAAACCGCTGAAAAATCTACAAGATTTTATTGAAGAACCATACGCGTTTTCGAGCTTCGACAGGGCAAAACCCTCGAATTTTGCACGGGACTCTCTATTGTTTAATAGCTCATTCGAAAAAACTCCTAAAAATCTAGGTTATATCAACATTTTAGAAAAAGTTTATATTTCTAACACATGAAAAAATAGATTTTTGTAGGGATTTTTGTTCGACTTTATGAGATTTTTTAATAGCACAAAAACTACAAAATATGACAAATCTGTTTGTCGTTTTGTCGAAAATATCTATGTATTATTGTAGAATGATTGACTAGCCGTCATTCGTGCAAACATATAGTCTGCAAATAACTACTTTCTTATGAATCTTAATTTTTTTCTAATCACTTCCGGTGGCGCAAGTTTTGCTCCAAAAGCTCGCGCGTAGGCTTCCATTAAATGCTGATTATCTCGAAAACAAGCTCATTTTTTCTTTCAGATTTGGCGGAATCAGCATTACATTTCAATTCGAAAAATCGAAGTTTAAAAAAAAGTTTAAATCGTTTTCCAAAAGTAGGCAGTCACCTTAAACGTCTTTACTTTAGATATCCAATATTTTATTATATTTTTATATTATTATTATATTATTATTGTTATTATTATTTTTTTATGGTGTGATGATAATCATGATTATGATACATGATGATGATAGTTATGCTGATGATGATGATGGTTATGCCGATAATGATGATGAGGATGTTGATGATGATTATGCCGATGATGATGAGGATGTTCAATGATGAAACATGATGATGATGGTTATGCTGATACTATGATGCTGATGATGATGATGATGATACAGTAAGCAAGTAAGTAAGTAACTCTTTATTTGCACTTATAAATACATTATTGTCTACATGTAAATTTGTTTAAATATAAATGTCTATACATTAGAAAAAAACATTTTAAAAAATATTTTATTAGCGTTAATTTAAATAATAAATAAATGAGTGAGTGAGTGAGTGAGTGAGTGAATGAATGAATTTGAAAACAATACACATTTCTCTATATACGGCAAGAATGGTGTAACCCCAAATATTGATAGTAACTATATTTATCAGCAGAATGTAAATTAAAAGAAAGATGTTTCGAATTAAATGTAAGTAAAAAACAATTGTTTTTAATTTGATTCTGAATTTGTTTTCTGGGAAGAACTTTGAACGGGTTTTTCAATGCGTTCCAGACTTTGGGGCCATGGAAACTCAATGAATTTCTACCACAATTAGTTGTGAATATGAGGAATTGCAAAGTTGAAAAGCTAATAGGAGAGTGACGTGTTTGAATTGGTAAGAATCTACATTCGATACAGGTTTGAAGTAGTTGAGAAAAGCAGGAGGAAGGGTGTTGTCCAAGAGAATATGAACTAAGAGAAGGAATCCCCCCTATATAGCCTTGTAACCATCATGTGCACAGTTTGATGCTATTTTTAAACCATTTGTTTTTCTGCACGCGCATTTACTGCGCGCGCTCTACGCTGTTTGTTTACGTTTTTGAGGTTTTTCCGTTATTTCGACTCTGCCCTGAATATGAATGTGCACGTCGAAAGCTTGGCAAATTGAAGTAGTAATTTGTTCAACTTTCTGGAGTATTTTTACATTTAGTTTTCAAAGCTTTCGACCTATATTGTCATCTTGTGGGCAGATTTGAACATTTGAACATAAGAAAAGCACAAGAAAACGTAAGCAAACAGCGCAGAAAATCAAACGATCAAATAAATGATATCAATAGATGATACTTTTAGAATAGATGCTAAAAATAGCATCAAAGTGTGCACATGATGGGGCACGAGGATTCCCTCTCTTAGTTCATATTCTCTTGTGTTGTTATAATAATCATACATTAAAAGTGCACCTTGGTTAAAAACATTATCTTTAAATTGTAATATACGAAAAGTTTTAAATAAGGGTGGAATGTGTGTCCTAGGATGTGAAAAGGTCATAATTCTTATAGCTTTATTATTCAAGATTATTAAGAACATTGAGACGTTTAATTCTGGATTCGTATGTAACACCCAATGTTAGGGCTCCGTACTGCAAGTATGGGTAAATTCATGAAAAATAAAATTGATCTGAGGGTGTGAATGTCGACAGTGACGCACTTTAGACAATATGCCAATATTTTTAGCTACCTTTTTACAAACTGAGCTAATCTGTTCATTCCAATTTAGATTTTGCTCAATAAGAATTCCTAAATATTCAATAACTTTGGTACAGAGCTCATAGATATTACAAAATTTTCGGGTTGAGTTTTCTTATTCGATGTGATAAGCATGTATTTAGATTTTTTGAAATTCAACGAAAGTTTTTTCGTATCAATCCAGTTTTTTAGTTTCTCTAAATATACATGATGATGATGATGATGATGATGATTGTATTTGTTTATTTTATTCGTTTTTATTCATCTACCAATCTTGAAAAACTAAGATTTTTTACAACACAATAACTTACAAATTTCTCGGGCGCTGATTCGTCATTTTTTGATTTATCATCAATAAGAGGACAGACAGATAAAGCTGACGTCAACGAGCGCGCGCTCTTTCCGTTGGTTGTTTTGATCGCTAAAAATGAGAAGTTTTTATCGTTTTCGTTATTTTAAGAAACAAATAGGCATCAGCTTTTTATGTGTCTGTCCTCTAATTGACGATAAATTACGTCATCACATTGTCAAAATAGTATGCGGACGCCTCGTGGATCCACACTACTTTGACAATGTGATGACGCAATTTATCGTCAATTTAACCAATTGACATCAGATTTTTATGTGTCTGTCCTCTTATTGACAATAAATTGCGTCATCACATTGTCAGAGTAGTGTCGGCTACGCCTCGTGGATCCACACTACTTTGACAATGTGATGGCGAAATTTATTGTCAATAAGAGGACAGACACATGAAAATCTGATGTCAATTGATTTTTTACAATAACAAAAACGATAAAAACTTCTCATCTTTAGCGATCAAAACAACCAACGGAAAGAGCGCGCGCTCGTTGACGTCAGCTTTATCTGTCTGTCCTCTTATTGATGATAAAAAATAACCAATCAGCGCGCGAGAAATTTGTAAGTTATTGTAAAAAAGAGGACAGACACATAAAAAACTGATGTCTATTTGTTAAATTGCTAATTTTGGATACAATAATTAGTCAGTACTAAAACGTTATATTGTCACATATGAAGATATTTAACCATTAGACAAGTAGCCCGAATAGGATTCTTAGGAATCGCATCAAACAGGTAAAAATCCACTAAAGTCGTATTTTATCGATAATTATCCCAGATCCTTTATTTCTAGCATGCGCGGTAAGAAATAAAGGCGCTGCATGGGTATGAGATTGGAGCCTATTTATTTCGTCGCGCATGCGCAGAAAGAAATAAATGCTCTGGGTACGAGAAAGATGGCCGCTTAGAGATACAGATTTTATCCTCTCGCGTTGAGAACTCTTACTCGTTCGCTGTGCTCACAAGTAAAATAACACCGCAACTCTCAAAGATAAAATCCGTATCTCTGTGCGGGTAAATATGTAATATTCTCTATTTCATTTACATACTAAGCAACATATTGAAAAGGGAGTATCGCAAATTCCTATTCTCTAAACTGCTTTTTGAACCGTTATCTTATTGGTAAGAGAAAAAATTAAAGCCCGTTTGTCTCTCACTTTAAAATCACTCTTCCACTAAAATGTTTATCAGGGGCTCACTCTTCCACTCAATGTTTCAGGTGCTGTTCCAAACGTGTCTAATTGATGACCTSAGGTCTATTTTTTACATTAAAAGCTTCTATTCTACTTCCTGTAACCTTGGGTGCTTACCGTTTAAACCAATAAATCCATCCGGTTGGAAACTCGTTTGCCAATAAGAGAAGAGCGGGAAACTTTGACTACCAACAAATGGTACAGGCGTCTGCCCGAAGCACTAAGAAGAGCGGGAAAAGGATTACCTTAATCAGAATATAGAGTTTTCCAGAACTTTTTCGGATCGAAATGATATATGGCCACTTGAATTGTTTTCCCCACCGGAATATCCGGTAAAATGGTAAGCACCCCTCACCTTCCGTACTTCACGCTTATCATAAAATATAAAAATTGTATCATCAAATCTTCATCTTTACAGTTATGATTTAGAAGTCTTTATCTTAGCGGAAACAACTTTATGTGTAAATTTAATCACTTATAATTGATTGTGATTGGACCAGAGGAGTATGATTAAATTCCAAAATGTACTCTTTGGAGTACCAATTAAGTTGCTCAATTTTGTTAAGCGTATTATAAACAAAAAAACGCACAATCTTCTCATACAATTCGGAATTTATAGATACTCGTGATGTTTTTAAGGCTCGTCCAATTTGAGAACTTTCAATATCACTCGTACCTATAAATTCCGAATTGTACTTGAGATCGTGCTATTTCCTATACAAACTATGTCCTGTATATCAGCTGCCATACTTAAAACACATTTATCTTGAGATTTTAGAATTATTCAGTACAAGTAAAATTATATTGATAGGTTGCAAGCATTCCCAAAAGACAAAAACATGGGGGCCATTGTGGTACCGTTAACAATGGATGCTAATGAGAAATCTTTTGTTAAATGGTACCAACATGGCCGCGATGACGTAACTTGCAAACTTAGAATAGGTAATAAAAAAAGAAAGAAATAATCGTTTTTTCGTTTCTATCCGAATTACATATTCTATTTGTCATGGATCACTATCAGAATGATATTGAATCAACCCTCAGTCTATTTATCATGGATCACTATCAAACTGCTATTTCGTCCTGAGAAATCTTGAAGTTCATCTTATGAATCTGAGAGAGTCCGTTTTTAAGGAGTTGTGGATCTGACTTTTTGCAAAGTTTTTTGTTCGTCTTTATTCTCATTCGTTGACTTTAAAGCCTGTTTTCTTCCTTGTGGTTTTTGTTCGTTAATTTAGATTTTTCATTTTCTTGGTTTGTTTTCTCTTATAATTTCTTGTTTATTTATAGTCAGTGTTTTTTTTCTCTTCTGTTGAATGATGATTGGTTGGTCAGTGTTTCCACTGAACTTGCACGTCTTCCTACACGTAGACTCCGATTTGTTTTCCTGGATGTCAAGCTCGTAGATCTAACACGAGTCATTTCCAGCTGTACTCCTTCGTCGCTAGTGTCTGACTTCTTGTGAAAAAGTATACAAGCTCCTTCACGATAGCTTCTCAGAAAAATAAAATAAAGGCAAGGATTGACAGCTGCATTCGCATAAGCAAGAAACGGGCAAACAAAATAGGCAACTTCGATCGCTTGATTATCAAGTTCCTTTAAAGCAGACTTAGGGAGGACTACAGCTATAAGCAGAAAGAAGAAAAAGGGTCCCCAAAGTATGACAAAGGCAACGATGATAGAGATAGACATATAGAAGATCTTTCTGTTGCGACGCTGTCGAGAGAGCATTTGCGCGTTCGTAATTATCTTAGCCACATTTTTCGAGGCCTTCACGAGGTTGTACGCCATGATTGTGTAGATGACAATGATTGCAATCAAAGGTATACCAAATATTGCGAAGAAAGTACAAATGGCATAAGGAGGATAAACTGACGGGTTTAAGGAACACTTGAGCTTACCATTTTCACGTGTCACACTAAAAAAATATAAATAAGGAGAAAGAAAAATGGCAGCTGCAATCCACGTGAGGACAATTGATAAGGAAATTCTTTTGCCTGAGAATAAAGCATTTTTCAACATGGGGTACGCTACAACAAGCAGTCTCTCAGTGGCTATGATGACGAGACTTAAAGACGAAACAAATGGAGATATATCAATAAAAATATAGGTCAACTTGCAGAGTACGTTACCAAAGTCACCACCGATGGCCCATTCAGGATGTTGGAGCTTATAAATGTTAAATGGTAAAACAACGAGTGGAACTAGCAGGTCTGATACTGCCATGTTGACGATCAGATAGTTAAAATTGGTTTTCATTCTTTCGTAAGTTAATACGACAGCAATAACTAGAGTGTTGCCGAGCAGAGACCATAAAAGAAGAATACAGTACAAGGCGATCTTGGTAGGCTTTGTTATCGTAACCGTTGTTCTAAACGTATCATTCTCGGGAATTGAACTGTTGGCCATTGAATTATTCTGTAAATACCAAGGAAAACAGAACGTATATATTAACAGATAATGCGAACCTAAAACTTTCAGTCAGTCAGTCAGTACGCGTATTTTTATTTAAAACTAACCTTTCGTAGTTTATCTTTTGCTTATTCACATAGTGAAATTCTTTTGGCTTTAAACGGAACGTGCCTGATTTGAGTGTGGAGCCTTTTTAGTGCAATGGTACTCCACTTCAGTTTTTCTGGCAACTTTCACTTTTTTAGTCTGACCGCGATCAATTTTACTTTTTATCACTTTTTTCCACCGTCAACTGCTGAAGTCTTATGAAAGATGTAAGAAACATTAAAACGTCTGTACAATTCAAGTGTTTTACTATTCCGCGAACTCTCTTTAACCAGATAAATTACATGACAGCTTAGAAAGACCATTGGATTCATGGTGTTCTGTTGAATTACCGCGTCATTTGACCGAGTGAGTTCATGAAAGGAACGAACGACGAAAAGTCGAGAGGCGAAAGTACAACAGATAGATCGAAATCTTACTTGGGAGAACCATATATCTATGATATCTATAAAAAAAATTGCCTCTGGAATAAGCGCAATGAAACGCATAAGGTGCTTCGTTTCAAGTGAAATACTCCTACCAGTGTACAATGCCTTGGTACAACCCCATTTTAATTATTGCAGCATAGTGTGGGGAAACTGCAGCAAAGGTCTTTCTCGAGAACTACAGAAACTCCAAAACCGTGCTGCAAGAATAATTACCTTCTCAAACTATGATGTAGATACAGATGAAATATTTCAGTCATTAAATTGGAAAAAAATTATAGACCATCAGCGCAAGATTGACAAATGTATTTTCATGTATAAGACTTTGAATAGTCTGACACCAGATTGTCTCACCTCCAAACTTATTGAAAACAAATTAGCAGTACCGCAGCCCCATACAGAATACTTTAAAAGAAGTATTAGTTATAGCGGAGCTGTAATGTGGAATAATTTGCCATTACATATATGACAAGCATCATCATTGACAAGCTTTAAATCTCAAATACGTCACTCATTTTAGAACAATTAATACTGCTATTGCACGGCGTCCTGGTAGAGCAGGTTTTTATTTTAACTTCCTTCATTTCTTTTCCATTCATGATTGTTTCAAATTTTTATTTGTATTCGCATTTAATATTAGGCATATTTTAACTTTATTGTATTTAATCAGTTCCCTTGTAAATATATTTATATTTAATTATTGTGATTATCCTGAAGGACCCACCTTGGGTAAATAAAGTTCTCTTCTGTTCTCTTCTGTTCTCTTCT